CGACGCAATAGGCACCTAATGGACGCAAGGTACACACACTAAGTCCCCAACGACACAAGTTAGCATAGTATCTAGTACAGAGACAGTTACTCACCTAAGTCCCCAAGACACAAGAGGTCGAGATGGGGACTTAGGGCGAGCTACAGGGGTCTTATATACACAAATCCATGGTCCAAGAATAGTACAAAAGAATCACATGCAGGGCACAAGGATGAGTAAGACCGACCCACTTAGGTGGGTCAGGATTATGAATCAAGGAGTTAGAAGGAATAACGAGTCATTGTTCATGAGTAAGCGGAATAAAACTCCGGTGGCTGTGCAGGGCTGTGCAGGGCTGTGCAAGGCAGTGCAGGGCAGTGCAGGGCAGTGTCAATGATGCTGTACTGCTGCCACTGAAGGTCACGTGACTTTGGAAAAGGAAAGGTGGGATAAGGAAAATGATAAGTCCATATTTAGAAATGAAAAATGCGAAAATAAATTGTCCTTCTCTTCTCATCACAAGCAGAGGGTCAAGCACCGTGTGTGACACAGCGATGTCTAGGATCTGCGAGGAGCCCTCCACATCGGACAGCTTGTCGATGCGATCTTTGAGGACTGTGGATGCAAGAATGACAATGACCTTGTAAACGCGAAAGTCGATGCCATCGGAGGAGCGAATGACTAGATCTGCACTTGGATCGTTGAATGGCGGATCCGCAGTGGGTTCTGTCAAGCTCTTTAACTTCTTGTTTTTGTGTTTCTTTGGAAGTGCGCTCTGATCATCCGACATCGTTTGGGAGTGGATGATGAAGGTACTGAGCTAGTTAAGATATCGATGCCGTGGTTGCGGTGGGGACGACTTGATTACGCAGCACGCAGTCATCAGCATATACTTATGTACGTACTTACTCTACTTCCCACGATACCGTGATCTGCCCTGTAAGTAGTCCACGTTAGCTACGCGGAACATGCTGATCATGAGCTGCATGAGGGTCCTCACTTGATGATGGCTGTATGTACCTCAGTGTACATCGCGTCCACGAGAATTGTTGATTTGCCTGCGAATCAGGCTAGAATACCCGTATGTCCGAGCAAGGCGCATAAGTACACGCCCAAGTCGCGCTCCTGCGGGTGATTCGACGTTCTTCGCGGTGCACTCGAGCACGCAACGGACATCCTCTGTGGTATCGAAGCTCGGATCGCAGACCGAGTACATCGAGCGCAGGACCATGTCGACTACGCGACCGTCCTACGAGACGGCGATGGTAGGTACGCCACCCGTATCGTCGTCTTCCAGATTATATAGAGCATTCTTGAACATGTCCCGAAAGTGGGTGGATGCGTTGCTCAAGTCGGATGCAAACACACGGCTTTGAACACCCTCGGACGAGAGTATGATCACATCTGCAACGGATCACTGGCACTCTTCTGGAGGGCTTTTGCGATGCTGACATCCGTCTAAGTCATCATCGTACCAAAACAGCACTCTCTGTGTACCACAAGCACGTTCATGAGGTGGAAAACGAGTCAGGGCATCCCCTCACATTAAAGGCTGCTGATAATGGGGATCTAGTCAATGCTGGTAGGCAGTACCAAGTACGAGAAGCAGGATGTCAAAGAAAGGACTATGCACCCCGAGGATGTCGACGAGATTTATGTGGACCAAGCACATGAACTCTGCTACACCACCACTTCAGCATTACAATTTTGATGTAGTGCGCATACTTATGTGCCATTGTTCACACGTACGGTCAGTCCAGTAATAGTACTCAGTAACATGCTGCCAAAGATGCCTTGAATAATACTGTAAGAAGCTGAGAGTACCTTGTCGCCTCTCGCCAGTCAGGAATACCGGGCACTGACCAATTCGTATCTTGTATGCTGCCTCTACTCACCTCCGCCATACGTACATCGTTTTGGTTGATGGATCGGTGGTGTGGTCACTGTGGTGGCTGCTAGCATGGGGTCGTGAACGTGCACACAGCAGTTCGTGGCAGGCTTAATGCACTGAGCCATGTGTATTGATCCTTGATCGCGGCAACTGGCTGTGCCTTCGGCTTGCTCAGTCTCACTATCATATCATTGCAAGTATAGCTCTTCGACAGCTTCGAACTCTCCAGGCGCACGCTTATAACATGCAAAGGGGAGGGACTGGGTGCGTCAACTCATCATGGCCATCTTGTACTCCGAATCCTCCAGCTCAACGATCTCGTCCTCTTGTCACGCACAGTCGAAAACCCCGAATCACAACAGCAACGCGTCGACCGATGACGAGCTCGACAAGTTCGGATACATCGTCGACTGGGCGACGGCGGACGTGATCCTGCAGTCCTCCGATGGCGTGCAGTTCCCAATGTCGTGCCACGCGCTCTCCGCCGCCTCGCCCTTCTTCCAGAGCATGTTCGACCTCCCGCAATCGCCCGACACGCACACCCACCGCGGCGAGTTCATCTACCACGACCTGCCCGCCGTGCCCATGTCCGAGCGCGCGGACGTGCTCGGCCCGGTACTCCGGTGCTGCCACGCCCGCGAGGACGCGGGCGTCTCGAGCACGGGCCTGCTCGCGTCCATGCTCGAGGTCGCGGACAAGTACGACATGCTCGGCGCGGTCCTCGGCGCGATCGAGCGCAGCGCGCAGGGCGGTAGCGTCCGCCGCCTCGTCGAGCGCGATCCGGCGACGATCTACGCGTTGGCGTACCACCACCACCTGCCGGACCTCGCGCGGGCCTCGGTGCGCAGCCTGCTCCGCCTGGACGTCGGCACCATCGACGCGAGCAAGGACGAGCCGCTGGTGCAGGGATACCTGACCCCGCACGCGCGGAAATGCCTGAAGGAGTATCACCGGGCGTGCTCGCGAGCGGTGGGACACGTGCTGCGGTACCCGGTGTGGGCGCCCTGCGAGCGCGAGTCGCGGCTCTGGCTGGACGAACCCGATCGTTACGTCTGGTGGACGTGCGCGAGCTGCCCGGTGACAGGGGACGCGTCGTGGAGCCGGTTCAGGAAGCGCGAGCCCCGGGCGTGGTTCACGCAGTACCTCGCGGATATGTCGGTCACGCTCGAGGAGAGGCCGCTGGATATCGGCGACAACGCGGCGTTTAGGAGTGCGGTGCGGGCGGCGAGCAAGTGCGGGACGTGCGCGGAGCATGCGTACGAGCATTTGACGGAGTTTGCGGCTTTGCTGCAGGAGCGGGTGGATATGGCCATCTCGAGGGTGAGTCTTCTGCACACGATGTAGCAATCCTGTCTTCTTTGCTCAGCATACATGTTTCAGATCCAGCTGGAGTTGTTTTAGCTCATATTCGTATACGTAAAGCGTGTTCATGGACGATCAATCATAATGAATGTAGATATAGGTGATATGCGTAGGCCGCTCAACCCAGCATCTCATCGCGATCGCTACGTTGCGCGAGGACGGACATTTCGAGCAAGATCCGGGCGTTATGGGCTCTACGCTCGCACGAATGCCAGGCCATTCTATAGCGCCAACCCCGCGACTGAAGACGAAGATCGAGTTTCTGAGGTGTAGCGAGGCACGAGCGGTGGCGTGAGAAAATAGTCTACGGACAAGCGCAGCGACGCGGGGCGTCCCCACCGCGCGCCCCCGTCGTCGCCGAGTGCGAAGTCTAAAGCTTCGTTCCCCCGCCCCGAGTTGCCGAACCTATTCGGTCCCCGAATTTTCTGTCCATCAAGCTCAGACGGAAGCATTAAGCTCCTTTTCCGGATCCTCCAAAGCGCGCCGCTGACTCTAAAGCATGCCACGTATCACAGTCAACCCATACGAGCACGCCCCCCCGGACTTCCAGGGCCCCGCCTTCGCTCTAGCGAGGACCGCCATCGCTCAAGCCAATGGGGGAACCGAGGAAGAGGCCAGCCAGGCCCTAGCGGACCAGTGGACCGAACAAAATGATCTCGCGAAGCAGGCGTGGGACGCGCAGGTTGCGGAAGATCAAGAAGCGGCCGATCTAGCCGAACGCGAACGGGCAGAGCGGGAGGCCGCCGCAAACGCGGAGGAGGAAAGAGAGAACGCGAAGGCCCGACCCAAAGTCCCCTCCTACACCCAGGATCAAACGATCAGCGACGAGCAAGACCTGCATACCGACTACGACGTGCTCGTTAAGCTCCGCAACTACAAGTACACGGAGCTCTGGTACCACGGAGCCGACGGCAGAAGACTAGCGACGTCACTCGCCATTTCTCGCGGAGACGACACTATGGTACTCGCCAAGGAAGGCGAAGGCTTATCGATCAAGCACACCTCGTCTGCTCGCCTGGCAAGGCACTGCGTCCCTGATCGAGATCTCACCTGGGACCAGTTCACGATCGCAAAAGGCGGCTTGCTAGAAGATATGGCGCGAGTGGGCTGGGAGCCCAGTATCATCCGCGATTTCGCCCTTCTCTTCTACAAAATGGACGGGCACGGCATCCGGTACCAACCCTACGGCAACGCGTGCCTGCTTATCTACATGGACGAGATTCGTAAGAACTGGCACCTGTCGTATGAGCTCGACATCAAGAACAAGCCCAAACCGAACGAGGGCCTCATGTTCAACCCGGGGAACCTCAACGAGACTCGTCTGGCCCGGATCGTAACCACATACCTTCAATCGCAAGCGTATGACGCTCTCGCCGGTCAGTAATCCTGTTTTTCATCGCCCTTCGCGCCCCAGCTCACAACTTCAACCCCTTTCCCCCCCGACCCGGCTCGCACCTTTGCGGACCCTTCTCGCGATCACGATCGCGCACAACGTCGCGCCATCACCATGGCCGACGTCAATGCTGTCGCGCCTGCACGCTGGCGACCCACACCACGCGCCATGCCACCGCATGTCATCGCGCGCCGATCTCACGTCGTCCTCGTCACATCGGCGGCGCATTCCATACCCCCTTTTCCATCCCGGCGCAGTCCTCAAAAACGCCGCGCCGAGCGTGCCAACGATGCCGGCACGCACCGAAAGGGCGCACGCCGCCAAGGCAGTCGGGCCTTACGGGCACCCCGACCACAACCGCAACGAACCGCGTCAGAATTTTCGACAAGGCGCCGGCGCGAACGCCCATTCGCCGTGCGCCCTCTGTCTCGGGCGATCCGCGCACAACGTACGCGCTTGCAACTCCAAAACCCTGTGGAACGGAAAGACAGCACTCTGTTCCCGAAACGACAAGGGCATGCTCGTCGGGCCCGATGGGGCCGTTTTCTGCACCGACTTCCAAATCCTCAGGGGCTGTCGCCGCGCAGTGACCCACACCTACAGGCACGCGTGCTCCGGATGCGGAGATGGGAGTCACGGCGCTTGCAAGTGCCCGCTCGCGCAGGGCGTGTGAGGCCCTCACGCCGCTTCACGCAGCAGCCTGGGAACTTCAACTTGAGCGGCACGCGTTGTCTAATAAATACCCATTCTTGGTTCAAAGTATTCGGTTTGGCTTCGACGCGGGCATCGCCCCCCCTCACGCTACTTACACCCCCCCTAATCACCCCTCGGTCGCGCAGCATCGGGCGCAATTTCAGAAGAATGCGGACCTCGAGTTCCGGCAAGGCCGGTACCTGGGACCCTACACTCGGCGGGTCATCGAACAGGTCCTCGGGCCCTTTCAAACCTCCCCCCTATCCATCATTCCCAAGCCGCACAACCCCTCGAAATTCCGGCTTATTCAGAATCTCTCTTTCCCGCTCCAACCCCGCGACGGCATCTCCTCGATCAACTCAACCATCGACGCGCGCATGTACCCCTGTACCTGGGGCACCTTTTCAGTGGTGGCGCTCACCATCGCGAGACTCCCCCCCGGCTCCCAGGCGGCGTGTCGGGACGTCAAAGACGCATACCGAACAATCCCGATACGACCAGATCAATGGCCGGGGCTCGTCGTGCGGTTGGCCGAGGGGGACACTTTCGCCGTCGACACGTGCGATTGCTTTGGCCTGCGCTCAGGATGCGGGATCTTTGGCGCCGCAGCCGACGCCTTCGCCGACATCGCTTGCGCCAACGGGATCGGGCCCATCTCCAAGTGGGTGGATGATTTCATCTTCTTTAGGATCCCGTGCACCGCGCTGGCCGAATACAACCTACAGCGATCTGTATGGCAGAAGTCGATACAGGAAACGGGCGGCCAGCACCAAGACCGAAGCAGGATATGGTACGGCGGAGTTGAGCTCCCCGACGGGCGGTGCAAAGAGTTCGACGAAGATATGTCCTTCCCCATCCGCGACCTTGCTCCGCGTATGCCCCGCTCCGCGGAGGACGCATCCTTTTGCTACGCGATGGCCAACATCGACGAGATCTCGCACGAGCTGGGCTGGGTCTGGGGCCTGGACAAAGACGTCGGCTTCGCCGAGATCACACCGTTCACAGGCTTCGAGTGGGACCTGCGGAGGCAGACGGTCGCCTTGGGCGACAAGAAGAAGACGAAGTACCTTGAGGCCATACGGGCGTGGCGTGCCTCGCGCACGCACACCCTCCAGGAGGTGCAAAAGCTGTACGGTAAGCTCCTTCACGCCTCTCTGGTGGTGCCAGCCGGACGCGCGTACCTCGTCGGACTGGAGACCATGCTGGGGATCTTCCACGATAGTCCTTTCAAGCCGCGCACCCCTCCCGCCAGCACTCCTAACGACCTCAGTTGGTGGGAAGATACCCTCAGGAGGCCAAGCCTCTCCAGAGCAATCCCCGGCCCCGTCGAAATACTCGACGTCCACGCTTTCTCCGATGCTAGCTCTCGTACAGGAATTGCAGTGGTCATCGGGGGCTGGTGGAGGGCGTGGCGTCTCCTCCCGGGGTGGGATCAGGACGGCCGAGGGATCGCGTGGGCCGAAGCCATTGGTTTCGAACTCCTCGCACAAGCCGTCATCGCCCGGTGCCCTGCTGGACGGCACGTCAGGCTCTACGGGGATAACAAAGGGGTCGTCGAGGGGTGGTGGAACGGTCGCAGCAGAGACCGTCGCGTCAACGAAGTTTTCAGGCGAGTCCACGCGGCAAGCGAGCATCACGGCATCCAATTTCATTCACGATACGTCGCGAGCGCGGCCAATCCAGCAGACGGGCCCTCAAGAGGAGTCTACCCGGCGGCTGCTCTATCGCTCCCTCCCATTCCCCTACCCGCAGGCCTCGAAACGTACATCATCGACAGTGCAGCCCCTCCCTCCGAACGCGAGCTCGCAGCTGCCGCTGCCGGGTACCTTCCGCGCCCCGAGCCAAAGCGGCGCGACTCATCCCTCCAGAACTCCATCCAGCAAGCCGACCTTGAACGCCGCAACGAGCAATTCGCCGCTCTCAACTTCCGGGACTGGGCGACACTCTGACCTGGACCCATCGTCTCGAACGTCTGGCCGCATTAGCTTGCGCCCTGCCTGCCTCGCAAGGCATCGCCTCCTCCAGTGGCGGCCGGCGGCAGGGCGTACGACTTTCACCGCCAGCGGAGAACCATCCGGCCTCGCGGAACACGACCTCCAGCGTGTTCGCAACGTGATGGCCAGTGCCCTCGCCGATTCGACCACCAAAACTTACGGCGCGGGGCTCCTGGCTTTTCACGCCTTCTGCGACGAGAGGCGATTGTCCGAGGCGCAGCGCGCGCCCGCGTCCGCAGACGTCATGCAGGCCTTCTTGGCTTCGCTGGCGGGTATGTATGCGGGCACGACACTAACGAACTATTTCTACGGCGTGCGAGCCTGGCATCTGATCCACGGCCTCAGCTGGGACATGAACGAGGCCGCCACTCAGACAATGTTCCGCGCCATCGAACGATTAGCTCCAGCATCCTCGCGGCGCAAGAAGAGAGCCCCTGTCACGGAAGAGGTCATATCGAAGATACGGCAGCGCCTCGACACCGGCCAAGCCATGCACGCGGCGGTATTCGCCTGCCTGACAGTGGCTTTCTACGCGTGCGCGCGTCTGGGCGAGTTGACCGTCCATGCCCTCGATCGGTTCGATCCGGCGATGCACGTCAAAGTGTCAGACCTGGGCGAAGAAACGGATAGGAACGGCTTCTCGCAGCAGACGCTGCACGTCCCACGCACGAAGTCTGCCCCAGACGGCGAGCAAATATACTGGGCCACGCAGAACGGGGTCGTAGACCCAGTCGCGGCGCTCGCGCAGCACATGCGAATTAACAAGCCAACCGCAAACGAGCACCTCTTTTCGTACACGCACAAGAACGGTAGGAGGCCACTAACAAAGTCCGCCTTCCTACGCGTCATTCGTCAAGCCCTACGCGAAGCGGGCCTCGAGCCCTTGCAGGGGCACGGCATCCGCGTTGGGGCGACTCTCGAATACCTCCTGCGTGGGGTACCCTTCGATGTCGTCCGGACCAAGGGACGATGGGCGAGCGACGCTTTCCTGTTGTACTTGCGCAAGCACGCGCAAGTCCTGGCACCGTACATGCAGGCGCAGCCGGAGCTGCACGCGAACTTTGTCCGCTACGCCATGCCGCCGGTGCGATGACTGGGTGAGTGCACCTCCTACTTCTGCGGGTGATAGCAGGCGCAACGCGTCGTTGCACTCCTTAACATCGGGATTTGCGGCTCACTATCACACGCAGACATCTGAATCGGGGAGCCCTTCGGGGCTTTCGCCCGTTTTCTCCATATCGAACAATTACTCTACTTTATTCACGCGATGTAATTACCGTCCACTCATTTAGAACACGACTCCGACCCCGAAAGGGGCACATCAAGAATTTATTTGCATGGTAGCGGCGGGAGCGAAGGACATAGAGAACGATATGGGCAGAGCGCGGGGTGTCAGCAGACGCCTCGAAGCCCGCCGTAGACGGTGATGGCCCTGGGGAAGGGATGCCAAAGGTCCGGTCTCCAAAGACGAAACGAGACGCGATGGCCGTATTCGGGTGCACCTGGGCTCAATCCGGGTAGGGATCTGGATGGGAGAAGCAAGGGCGGCTGTACCCAGGGACACGGGAGAAGGCCCGAGGATCTTCTGGTGCTCTGTGCACGGGGAGCATGGATGGTTGCCGGTCGAACGAGTCGGGAAACGTGCGAGGATGTAGCACAAATGAAAAGAGCTATGAATATACACGTTTTGCCCTAGGCCCTGTGGGTGTTGGTGGCCGGATGAGCTAGTTAAGAGATGACAAACAAGCTCAAGGTTTCGAGCCGAAGGGTTGGGCAGGCGGCGCGACGAGCCCGCTATCTGCGACGAGACGCCACCGGAAGCATCTCGTTCTGCTGCTAAAGGGACGGATCTAACGGACCTATCGGGAGGTGGTGCAGTCAGCCGACGCTATATATGAGAGATCATGGACATGTCGCGCGCGCAACGCTCGATATCCCACCGAAACCCATGATTTGGGTAGCGTTGCGATCGTGATGAAACGTTTGAGCGTCGACGGCCGGGCGTTGAGAGGTGCCTGCGTAGGGGCCGTTACGTTGCCCTGAGCTGAATCCGCGAAACAAAAGCGGTCCTAAAAGCTACTTAGAGGTGAGATAGAGCAACGTTAGCGTGCGAGTGTGCCACGGAAAACCCGCAGCGCGCAGTGCGAACGAGCGCGGGTCTCGGTAAATCCGGGGTAAGTGTGAAACGAGGGAGTTCTTGTGCCTCAGACGAACCCTGCGATGAGGCGGGGGCGGGGAAGGGGAAGGGGGGCGAAGTGCGGGGTCGTGGGGTACCCGGAAGGTATTGAGAAGGAGGTTAAAGATGAGATGGATGGGCTGGGCGCGCGATCCTAGCTGCCATACTGCTTGTTGGATATGTGAGTAGATGGACGCCGATGTATGAAATGGTTGTATGAAAGGAGAGGGCTGCGCTGGGCAGGTGCTGGGTGTCGCGAACCATACTAGCTTTCCGCAGAGGCGCGGGGCGCCACCGAGGGGATCTCAAGAGATGGCCGGGGTAATATCGGAGAAACAACCCGTGCGTTGATGGATGGAGAACCGAAGGGACGGACGGCCCTGCTCTCGGTGTCCATCCAAGAATACGTAGCTTTGCGACGTGATATGGTGAAACGCAACAAAAGCAGGACAGCCCGTTCACTTCCGATGTCGTTGGAGTCGAATAAATCACGCAGATGGACACAGCAAGGCATGGAACGAGCATGGGGGTGCGCATATGATTCTGAATCGGAACTTTGGCTGGAACATGGCTGTGATCGCGTCCGCCCCGGATGCAAAATCGGAACCAATAATCACGCGGCCATGGACGTCCCGTTCGTCGGTAGAGGGCCGAACCCGCGTTCTTCCTTGCCGGGTCGTCGAAACTCAATCTCGCTCCCCCCCCTCTCTCTGGAGAATGCACAGCTTTGCGGGGTAAGAGAAGGTGAAGTTCGTGGACGGAACCTTGGCCGACTCCCCCTCGCGAAGACGAAGGGGCTCGACGCGTCCTCGTGAGCGGCGATGGGTCTTCTGGTGTCCACCCGAGCTCCAAGATCATCGAGAACTGGGGCGTGTTGACAGTCGGCGTTGACGTTGAGTTTCGATTTGCGTCAGCTGGTCGGCGGGATGAGCGGCCGTCCGTTGGCGTGCGATGGGGCGGTAATCACGGGGCTCGCAGGGTTCAGTTCAGTGCAACGGCGCAGCCCTGTCGCACCCCCCACGTTGCGGACGAGAAATCGTGAAAGGCGCGCGCCACAGTCGCTCAGCTGATCAACAGAGGAGGGGGCTTCTCGGGTGCGGACGTTCAGTATAGTCTTGGTCAGATTTTGCCAGGTTCTCGTGCGGAGCTCGGGGCTCAGGGCTGCTTATGCTCAGGGCCCACAGGGGGGCGGCGACACGTTGTTCGTTGGGACTCGAGCGGGCGATGGGCGCGAGCAAGTCCGGGCGTGCGCACTAAAGAGGAAACATAGCGCGTGGTGCTGTTCACCGGAGCATAATCGATTATATATTTCTGACCCTGGGCGCGGCTGGCCCCTTTGCGGTCTCGGATCCAACACATCATCCTGATTCGTCGCGACAGCGATGCTGCGCAGGACGACCGGGGGGTCGTGGATGATCCGGACGGCATGGGCTCCGTTTCGCAGCGGCCACGGGGGTCGTCGGATGGCGACTGGTTATTCCTCTCATCCATCGGTGGTGGGGCAGCGCACGGAGCCGTGTCGGGACATGCCGCGCTCGACGCTTGGTCGGAATTGATGGGACCATCGAGCGGAAAGGGAAGGCGGGCGCGATCGCCAATCGTTTTCCCGGAAGATTTGGGCAGGCGAGGGGGGAGCCCGGCTCACGTGCGCGCCAGGGAGAACTCGGACCGCTGTTGCCATTGGCGGCCCAGCCGAACAGGGCGGAGCATCCGGCCCATTGGTATTTTCCACCAGCACACCCGCACCTCTCCCAACCACCACCACCACCCGGTCGCTGTGCCCCGTCGCCGCCGCACCGCCAGGGATGTTCTGAGTTCCCCGTGCAACACAACGACCACGACCACTTGCGTGATTCAGATCAGCGACACGCGCACCCCTGCATCTCTTCCCCCTTCGCCGGAGAGAGCCACACGTGCCGTCATCGACCCATTTCTAGGCCCCCCCCATAAACGTCAAGCCGCTTCTCTAGCGCATCCCTCGGTCATAAACCGCCCTCACGCACGCCCCGCACGTCCCGCATGGCCACTTACCTACCCCTCCTCCTCGTCTCCGTCTCAGCCAACAACACCGCGCCCGATGACTCCGCCGTCACGACCCAGCCCCGCGGCCAGGTCGACTACCTCTCCCATCACTGGGAGGAGGACGACGTCGCCCGCTCATGGAGGAGCATGACCAAGCAGAAGGACCACATTGCGAACGGTGTCAGGCTCGAGAACGCCAGCTGGCGGACCTGGTGGAAACAACGGAACGGATTGAAGACGATTAGCCCTGAGACACTCAATTGGTGAGTTGCCAGGCTTCGGTTTTCTTCCATATCATGTCCCCCAACCGTGCCTTGGCGCGGCTTCGTTACCTCTTATCGCCCCTCGATACGACTCATATCACCCCCGCCACTCGAACCGCTCGCTAACCCTGCACCCTCCCATCGGCCCAGGTTGAAAGACTCAGACGTCACGTGGCTCTATGGCCCGCTTCACACTGCCGGCGACTGGACCAAGCCGCCAGAAGCTCGGAACGAGGGCGGGATCAGCGCCTGCGGCAGCTCAGCCCAGGATCTGACGCGATTCCGCCGCGATTCTCCGTCGCCCCCCACGTCCGAGAACGCAGGGCCGAGGAAGCCGATCCTCAAACACCGCACGATCGGCGAGCTCCTGATGAGCTACGTCCCGCCGTCTGCGATCGCCGACGATGACGACGACGACGACTACGAGTTCGAGGAGAACGCGAACGCGGCGGACGCGCCGCACCGCCCGCCGCTTTTGCACACCAAGAGCGACACTCACATCATGCGCTGGCGCAAGAACCAGGCGTTCCGCAAGGATTCGCCCCCGCGGATAGTGCTTCCGGCCGAGAAGCCGGAGGGCGACGATCCGGCTAGGGCGGGTGCGCCGCTCAGCCCGGCGTCGAAGACGAGCGAACCTCACGAAGGCAGCGACCAAGACGGCGCTCAGCCGAAGAAGCGGCATATCAGCTTCAACACGTTTGTCGAGCAGTGTATCGCCATCGACGAGCCGCAGCCACGGAAACGGTTCAATTCGGGCAGCCGCCACCCGTCGCCGTTATACGACACTTATTCTTACGACGGACGGTCAGTATCGAGCGCACTCCTTGCGTATCGTTGCTAACTCGAGTATTTAACCTATTCAATAGAGTGGACTCGGAAGAGGACGAGTTCGAGGAACACCATGATACCATGGTCAGCCCGTCCGACTCGGAAGACGACCAGCCTCTCGAGATCCGTACGCGTTCCCGGACGACGTCGCTCACGAACCCGACGGCGCACTTTGGCCCGCACGGTTTCCTCTCTCGCGCGCGGCCGCCGCTGATGCGCACCTCCTCTTCGGACAAGTCGCACGTGACCATCGCGCCGATCGCGCCGACGATGCTCAAGACGTACGGCGTCGCGTCGGGCGACGTGGAGCCGACGGCGGAGTACCCGTACTTCCGCGCGGCGGGCGACGCGCCGGGCGAGCTCGTGTACGTCCCGCCGGTGGGGAGCAATTACGAGCTGCTGCCGGGCTCGCGCACGGGAAGCAGTGAGGACGTGTGGACTCATCGCGAGGCGCATCTCATCGTCGGTGCAGGGTCGCGCTCGAGCAGTAGCAACTCGTCGACGTCGTCGGGGTCGGGCGCGTCGTCCGTCGCGGGGTCGTCGACGGCGAGTACGCCGTACTCGCGCACGGTGTCGATGCCGCCCACGCCGCACCCGAAGGTGTGGGAGGGCGTGCCGCCGCCGCCGTCGGACGATGACGTGAACGGGACGGAGCTCGACGCGTACGATTATTTCAGCGGACCGGATTTGGGCGAGGATTTCCCGGAGAGGAGCGGTGGAGGCGAGCGCGAGTCGTATGCGGATAGGAGGACGAAGGAAGAGGAGAAGGGGGAGAAGGAGGGGAAGGAGGAGCAGGGGCCGGTGCGGTATGCGGAGGGAGGGGCGGCGAGCGTCACGAATGGGCGGAGTAGTGGGCCTGAGGGAGGTGGCGGGTCGCGGTCGGTGCCTGTGGTTATCAATACGGCGGGCGCGGTGGAGGAGAGGGAGGAGCATTCGCCGACGGTCTCGAAGGACGAGACGAAGCCGAGGTCGCCGTCGCCCGAGCGGCAGCAGGACCCGTCGGTGCCGCATAGCGCTCCGGTGCCCGTGCCTAGGGTCGGCTCGGCGCACAGTCAAGTCGTACCGCCTGCATCGTCGGTGGCTCCCGACTTTTTGTCCCCTCGCGAGGCGAGCTCGGGGTCGCTGCGTGGACGAAGCGCACGCTCGGATAGGACTGCTGCTAGCCCCGGTGGGTCGAGGTCGGAGTCGCGCGGGCGCTCGGTCACGCGGAGCTCGTCGTTCTCCGATCGCGAGCGGTCGTCGAGCAGAGGCGCCAATTCGCCGTTGGGCAGTATATCCCCGACGGGTTCGTTCGTCGGCGCGGGACGGAGAACGACTGGCGCGAGCGTTATACAACGAAGGGCGAGCGCGGACAGCGCAGGCGGTGGTGGGGAGAGCGGTGGTCGGGAAGGACGCGGGCGCGAACGGAGCGATCGGAGGATAAGCGAGAGCTTGAGCCCGCCGCATGTGGCCAAGGCGCCTGCGTATCAGCCCTACCTTCCGACGTCGTCGGAGAGGCCGACGGGCGGTGGAGACGACAGCTCATCGTCGGGCTCGTCGACGATCTCGGCGCCATCCACTTCGGCTACGCAGACGAAGTCGGGGCTCGCGCTCCCCATACCGTCGCCCATACCGGAGGAGGACGAGGCGCGGTCGCGGAACCCGACTCCGGCGAATTCACCTACGCTCGCGGCGATGCAGCGCGTGCTCCCCCCGGACGCGTTCGCGGCGCCGAACACGCCCCCGCCGAAGGCGACGTCGCATGCGAGGACGACGTCGAACAGCTCGGTGAGGTCGATCGACTATGCGCCCGTGCAGAGCAGCCCGATATTGAGGCCGGCGGATAAGCGGCGGAGATCGTCGGATGGGGGTCCGGACGGGACGCTCGTGGGGCGCGCGGCGGATATCGTGTCGACCGCGCGCGGGTTCTTGGGATCGCTGTGGGGCGGCGGCAATTGAACGAAATCGAACGAGAACGGGCGTACACGCCCGACGCGGACCGCATTTTTTTTACCTACCTTCATCCCGGTCATCGTCCCTCACTCGTCAGTTATTGGTCAACCTATCGCGTTGCGGAGCTCCACCCGTTCTCGCACATCGCGCATTGTACTCTCTTCCTCCTCTCATACGACGGGTCTTCTCCCCCACCTCGTTGCGGCTTAGGTTCCTTACCTTACCCGCGTTGCACATAATCAGGGTTTCGTTATTACTCGCAAAGTAACATCATCATTATCCTATCTCTCTTTTTTTTTTGTGCCTTCTTTTCTCCTTTTCACCTTCCAGATTGTAGTTTTCCATGGACTCCGTCTGCGCCGGCTCGGGCCGCGCACACGACAACCTTTTTTGCCATCTTTTTCCCCCGTTTCTTGTCATTTCTTTCTTCCCGGTCTTTTTTTTTCTGGTCTCGTGTCATTACCAACCTGCTTGCCATCATCCATATCAATTGTAACTTTATAAACCCGCCGCGTTAGCCCGACGGTCTCAAGTCGTTCTAATCACCATCGCTGGGGCGCACACGAGAGATTTAGCGGGATAAGGCGCAGTTGCGTCGACGACCCGGCATGCGCGGTCGCGGCGACAACCCGGCGATATGGAATTGCGCACGTATGGCGTACAAAGAGGGGATAGGGGATACATAATAAGGGTGGGTAGCTAAAATGTATGCTATTCGAGAAACAGCCTTGTCAGGCCGACAGGGACACACGAAGACGACGAGAAGATTACCTGGGCGAGCAACAGTCGAGGCGAGAGGGGCAACGGCAACGTTCCCCGCTCGACCACTGTTCTATACGCCCAGGAAGACTGAGACAGCGCAGCGGCGCCATTAAGACAGGGGGGAAAACACCCGGTCACTGACCCGCAGGCTATCGGGCCCGTCGAGGTCTCGCGCGGATGGGTGACCGGGGTGCGAGCACTGGCTGAGACATTGTCCGACAGCCGCGCGCACTGGGCGTAGTACTCGGCTTGAGTATGGGGCCGAGAGGCGCAGACGTGCATGGCACACTCGTTGATTAGACTCTAGTAAATCACCTTTAAAATCGACTAATCACCATCGCTGGGGCGCACATGAGAGATTTAGCGGGATAAGGCGCAGTTGCGTCGACGACCCGGCATGCGCGGTCGCGGCGACAACCCGGCGATATGGAATTGCGCACGTATGGCGTATAAGTGGTATATGGTTTATCTGCGGAGCCGAGATGAGATGGAGCGATGGAGCGGCTTCGGATGAGTTTGGGTGAAGTGGTGTGAGCAAGCGCGATGAGAAAGGAGTGCACAAACAAAGGGAAATGAAGGTTAATCTTCGTTCATAGCAGGGCGCCCGAGGATTAGCGAAGCTAGTAGTGTCGGGTTCTTGCGGATGTAGATACGAAAAGTGTCGGAGGACCAACGACCTGCGGCTTGAATGAGGTCGGGAGGTACACCTTCAGCAGCGAGAGCCGTGGCACCTCCGGAGCGTAGCGAGTGCCCAGAAAACTGAGGTCCGAAATGACGGTGAAGGTGGGATATGAACCAACGACGAGTGGGGACGGAACCATCGGATCTGAGCCAAAGGGCGGGGAGTAAAGGAAAAGAGGAGTCGCGGGAGGTGAGATAGGCGAGGAAAAGAGATAGTGGATCGTCGTCGCCTTGGCGTGATTCGATCATGACTTTGTTGCCTTCAAAGAAACGGTCGGCTTTGTGGGCGGGTAGCAGGAACTCGTACCCGCGCGTGTAGGTCGTCACCGAGTGCCGCATGATGACCTTCCTCCAGTCCTGAAGGTATTGACGGTCAGGCCAAACGAGTTCTCCAATACGCAAGAGGCCGTTGAATGCAGTGAACAAGATGGCCAGGAAGAGTTTGTCGTCATGCGAGGAGGAGAGGTGGTAGTGGTAGCGGGAGGAGCGAAGCTGTGCGCGTGTGAGGGGCAGCTTGCGGACGGTTGCGATGGCCTTGAGTTTCTTTCAACCATCAAGTGTACGGGATACCAGGGATGAACGGCGGACAGTACGGACATCGGGGAAAAAGGGTTCCAGTTCGCTGCAAATCCCCGAAAGGTAGGAGTCAACGGATTTAGGGCGAATGTGATGGCACATGAATACCACATAAAAACTGAACGTATCGGGTGTGGGCTGGATGGCAAAGTTGTGTATGCGGCAGAAGTATAAGTAAGAGTGGAGGGCGCTAGAATAACTCGCCCGTGTAGACGATTCAAGTGCGAAGCCGAGTGCAATGGAACGTTCATGCACTAGGCGTTCCCGTGTCCAAGGGGCCCGAGTGGGCTGCCTGGACGATGTTCCTGTAATGTTCATTTTTTCATTGCCCCCAACGCGGACTGTGTAAGAACCCCTAGATCGTGGTACCTTCGGCGGGTACCGAACCGTCGTGGTTGTTAGACTTGGCGTAAAGTCTGTCGTTGTAGTCTAGGCTGTGTCGTGTGACTTAGGCGTGAGAGTTCGGACTCTAGACGCACTAGGTCGAGTGTGGTGGGTTGTTGTAGGTAGCGGTGTCTTAGTTCTTAAGTCTAAAAGGCCGTAACCGAACCGTCAATCGTTATAGCGCTAAGGGCGTGTATAACAGATGGACGAGCTGAAGTCCATCGACTTCAGCTAGCGTCTTATATACTACTATACAAGTACTGTACTAGAACCTTCCAGTACCTACCATAACGTTCTATACTATTCTACAATGTTCCTTATGAGTCATAGTCGAGTCATAACCTGAGTCACTACAAGTCCTAGAACCTTCAGGCGCATTCCAG